CTTCTTGCTGCGAGGCAACAGTGCTACCAACTGCGTCACCTTGCAGCCCGCAAATAGAAATAATTCCGGTAATCCTAACTGATTTAAAACAGGATAAGTTTAATCACATTTAATGTAAAAAAAAAAGGTTATGTGTCTTTTTATACAGTGTATGTAAACCTCTGGTTTCAACTGTATACATACACTGTTGGCCATAAAGTTGGAATGAAATATATATATTTTTTTACCTTTTCTCATGAAATTATTGTGACAATGCAATTCATTCTTGATAGATAAACTGTATATCCTCTCAAAACTTTATTGATATCAAAACATACATACAATACACATCACATTAAAAATGTAATTATGAACTTTTTTAGAACCGTGTTTTCAGGTTTAAATAAAATGGGGGTATTGAACAAATAGATTAAGGGTTTTGTTTAAATTTTTCAACCTTGATCATATAACAGCAAACAGATATTCTTGTGGATTCCATGCATTAGAATGTCCAATATTATTCTTTCAGATGTCACTCAGTCACTAATACTGAGTATGGCCACCCCTGACAGGGATCAATGCCTTTAAGAATCGTGGCATTCTGTCCACAAGCTTGTTGATGGTGTCAGTGGGCAGGACGTCCCACTCTTGGGCCGGATCCTGAAGTCAGAAATTCACCTGGGTAACTGGGACTCAGTATGTAATCATTGCACCTGGTCAAAAGTGATTACTGATGTGTGTAAACAGAAATAAAAAGAGGAATGTGTCTGAACACAAAAACGATTCCAACTTTATGGGCAACAGTGTATTACAGTTATAATTATCAGTGCAATTCAACTAAATTCTTCAGCAGAGTCCATGGATTCTCTCTGCCGTTTAAGTCAGGACTTTAGGAATGCCAGTCTAAAACCTTTAGCAATGTCTTTACCACTTTGATGTTAGTTTGGGGACTTGTTGGAACAGCCAATTGTGTCCAAGACCCTTTCACCTGGGTGATGATTTTAAGGTTTTCTAAAGAATGTGAAGGTAATCCCCCTCCTTCATTATTCCATTCATTTGTGTAAATCAGCAGTTTCACTTGTAGCAAAACAGCCTCACATCATAATACTACCACCACCATGCTTGATGGTATTCTTGACATTAAAGGCCTTACATTCTCTCCTCCAAATATATATTTCTTGTCATTGTGGCCAAATAGCTCAATTTTATTCTGACCACATACATTTCCTTCAGAAGGGCTTTTCTTTGTCCATGTGACCAACAGCAAACTTCAGCAGTTGAGGTGCTGCTTCTAGAGGATGGGCTTCACTTCTTGCACGGCAGCCTCTCAGCCCAATGTGATTTAAACACACTTGACTGTGGACACTGACACCTGTGTTCCAGCAGCTTCTAATTCATTACAGACCTGCCTTTAGGTGATTCTTGGTAAACTCTTGCCCATCCTGACCAGTGGTCTCTCAGCAGCAGGTGATGGTTTGTGTTGTGTAACAAATAATGAAGTTGAAGTTTTCCGACTGAGAGTGGCAGTGACAACTGTTTGCACAGTTGATTGTGGGATCTGACGTATCTTTGAAATGGCTCCTAATGACTTTCCCGGCTTCTTCAGATCCGTACTCAGCTCCTCTACACTTTCCCACTGTAGTATTTGTGGCAGAGTCTAAGAAGTGTATTAAACAGGCCTTATTTAAATTGGCTCAGAGGAGTCATCAGCTGTAGATAGTAAGAGGTCATGCCACTAAGAAAACTTGATTCACACGACTTTCTACATCATCAAAACTGGTAATTCAAGTTGCTGTATGTATCTGCATAATTCTCTTTTGTGACAAAATTAGGAGTTGTAGGAGTCCTTGCAAACTCACAATTCAAGTGTATGTAAACTTTGCCTTCAGATCATGATGAGCAGCTTCTACCAGTTTATAAAGACATCCAAATAATTGTATAGAATATTGGCTTTATTATGAAACCTGGGGCATTTTCCACAGACAACCATTCTACATTTATACAGATCGATTTAGCAGATTTCGTTGTAATCACAAAAAAGGACAGACTGTGCACAGAGCAGCTTACCTGCCTGAGCTCACCCAAGATTGTTTTTAATACAAAGCTGGAGCATATTCCTTCACATGCAGCACTTTCTAGATGTGAAGCTACTGCCTTGGATGTCCGTTTCTACCTTGTATGGGTAAATAAGAAGGTAAAGGCATCATTCAAGCAGCTGCATGTCACTAAATATGCTCCAGAAAAAAAACAAACAGTCCAAAATTGTATACAATCATAATTTAAAATCCCCAACCCGAGCAAAATATTAAAAGCAACTAAAGCACACAGCAGTCATAAGGTGTAAGACCCCCACCCACCCACCAACCCACCAACCCAGCCAGTCAGCTTCGATCAACATGTAACATGTATTTTCTCTGCACTTCACTTTGGAGTTGTTCCGCAAATAGTTCAGGTAAAATCCCACCCTGCCTCAGCTTTTCAAGATCCAGGTTTTAAAATGTAAGTGTTTGAAAAATAAATCATGTGAGGCCAAGAAATCGTTCGTCTGTTGCCATTTTTTGAAATACATGGGGAGCGAGCTGCTCCATTTCTCTGGAAAAGATGTCCACTGAAGCCCCACCCATGATGGCATGAATCGCTATGAATCAACAGACAGTGCTAGAAGCTGTACAGTTTCCCTTAAAGACCAGCTGCATTGTGAACCCTTCAGATATTTATTCACCAGGAGTGCAATTTGTTGTTTGAGAGCGTTAACACGATGGGCAGATATCACATATCTGCCAGTATATTGTCTGACTTGGCATTGACACTGGAAACACAACCCTCTGCATCTCACATAACAAGCTAATGCATTCTGTTTGCCATTTTTATCATTTGAAAAGGTTTCCGTTTAAAACTTAGTTATCATACTCCTGTGGTGACTCCACACATGCCTATCCAGTGACTTTATTCGTCTGACTGCAGATATTTTAAATTAGGAGACCCACAGTCATGTAATTAACTGCAATCAAACAAAATTGGACAAAAGAATCTGTTAGACCAAAAAAAAAAAGAAAGAAAGAAAAAAAAAAAGGTAAAACTAATGACAACTGCCATCTAACCCAGAATCTTTTGGCCATTCGTTCCAAACATACATAACATTTATAAAGAAGGAACCAAACGGGTAACAGGAGAACAAAACATCTGAGATTCGATCATATGTAGGCTTTTACTCAAAACTGCCAGTCTCATTTCCAGAGTGTAAATAACTGTCTTGGTGTTGGAGAAAACAGTGGAGGACACAGAGGGCTCATTTACTCGCACTACACCACTCGCCGTACTTCGAAAAATCTCTTCAGGTAGTAAATCTGTCCAAGTGTCATCGCCACCAGAACCAGAGCTTCGAAGAACGACCACAGCACCACTCTGCTGTTTGTGTTGTCGTTGACTGGAGGGCAAAGAAGAAGAGGAGGAAAAATAGACAACTGGTGAAGGTGCACTTATAATAATGAACACGACAAGCTGACTATCCATCTATGTTCTTACTTGCTCTGTGTATCCTCTCGCGGACCTCCATGTACTCCTGCTCATGCTTTACGGCTGTCATAGCGACCGCCAGCTCGTTGATCATCTCCTCCAGTTTGTTTTGGTGAGCTGAAACAGGCAAAGGGGTAATCAATGAGCGATAAATCACCACACAGTGACTGTGCGCCAAAACATGCATCGGGTTTTATGCAGTACATGCGGAACATTTTCACACTTGTGACGTGTATGAGAGGTGATGCCGTCACAATACCTGAGACATTCATACTGCATACATGTTCTCACTGTGCAACAGGGCTGCAACTAATGATTATTTCCATTGTTAAGTAATCAGGTATTAATCGAGTAGTTGTTTAGTCTATAAAAATGTTCGAAAATAGTGAAAAATGTTAATCAGTGTTTTCCAAAATGATGTCCTCAAATGTGTTGTGCTGTCCGCAACCCAACTTCGTTGAACAGTTGATCGATTTCATATCTAAATTTGAAACAATGCAATTAGTAAACTGCAATGTCTGCAATTTAAAGTATAAATTATGCATCACATCTGACCAGGGGTTTATTTATCTTTTAGTATTACTTCATTTAAAGAGCAATACTGCTCCTGAGCTACGGACCTGTTTCAATGTCAATTGTTTACATAAAGGCCCAATTATTTTTATTGGAATTATTTGTTATCATTATTACTTTTTTTTAACCTAACACAGCTACAGTTGTAAGTAAGTGCTCTGCCATGTAACAAATACATGTTGAAAGCAAATTACATCGTTAAGTTCTCATTCTTGCATTACAGTATAAAGCAGTTAATAATTTGATGGCATGTCATGTGGTAATGCTCCAACCCGTTTTAAAGAGGTCAGTCAATATATATGCTGCAAATCATAATATTTGCTAGAATAACTGTGTTGAGATATTTTACCTCACTAGTTCTGCACTATGATCTGAACATACTCAATAAGTGAATTACATTTTCATTCCATCTAAAGTTTTTTACACTGATAAATCAATTATCAAAATAGATGGTGATTAATTTAATAGTTGACAACTAATCGAGTAATCACTGCAGCTCTACTGTGCAAATAGTCAAACCATTCACAAACATCACACCTTCTTGTTTATGTATATGCTCGATATTAGTTTCTACTATAGAAACAACACTGGTTAAAGAAAACTCTGCAGTGCATCACAAACTTAAAAGTCTATTTCACAAAAGCAACTTTGCAATAGCCTTCCCTGTGCCCTACCATCCCAGCTGTCACCACCTACAAAGAGGAAAAAAAGTGTCCCAATAAAGTCACAAAGAATAAACTGATAGAAACAATGAAAGCAGAATCAAGAAACATAGAATATAGGAGAAATATTGGACTGCACTAAGCATAATCCATCAGGAAAAAGGGAGAAGTATATGTTCTGTTGTGTACCTTCCGTCTCCATGTCTTGGCCTTTAGGTGCCTCTCCGATATCGATCGTGAACATGACAATCTTGGGTGTCATGGTTGACATCTTGTTGCTGAAGCAGAACTTGTAGGTTCCGTCCATGTGTGCTGCCACTGAGTATTTCCCACTGGACTCTCTGTCCCCTTTGTAAATCTGCTTACCATCAGGCCCTGTTATCTGGAAAAGCAAAAATGAATGAGTATCATTTCAGACATGCACTCTTTTCTGATGGCATTTGAATGCATCGGCTTCATGTCTGAATTAGCACCCTGGTCATTTTTCGCAAAAGTCCCAACAGACATCTTACTAGAGCGGATCACTAACTTCTCTGTATCACTTTCAACACAGCACAAGTCTGAACTGCATGCCGTTCAATGAACAGACACGGTACTTCAGTTGTGTGAAGTGATTTAGGGCTTTTGTTTTCCCCCAATATTGGTCCAAACACATCACAGAGGACAAAAGTCATAGTTTGAGTTCATAGTTTGAGTGCCAAAACCATGTCTGAAGCCCTTTTGACACATGGGATAAACAACATTGCTGCTTCATTACCATGATAGGATACTTGTCATCACACAAGACTGGACAGAAAATATGTAACAATGCACTAACAAATAAATGACTAAATCTGAAGTAACAACAGCTTATCAAACTGTCCACATGAGTAACTGCCATAATTATTTCCTTAACACAGAAAATTCTGTCGGTGTAATGATATTCTAACTCCTCACTTTCCCAGCACCTGTGACAGAAAATATATTTAAATGCAGCTTATAAACTTGTGTGCGACAGCTCACCTGTCTGAGGTGACGAGAAGTACACAGTGTGAATTGCTGTTGATCTAGATTGAGCTCCATGGACTTCATGTGGGTGTAATTTAGAACTGTAAATAATGAACTAATTTACTGCTGTTGTCCCACATGCATAAATGTGCACAACTCGTTTTCTTTGGAGACATTTATGTAGACCATGCTGCTGTCTGACACTGCAGGTGGGGAAATGTCAAGCAAAGTAAATGAGACTTTGGCAGCAAGCTGTGCCTTTTACTTCTCTGTCATGTTTATGAACCAGTATTGGTGCTGGATGAAATAACCGTCATCCCCAGATCACTTCACCAACTCAAAGTACATTACTAATGCGTGCCCATTTCTCAAAGGAAGGAAGCACTTCAGACCTGTTGATTCAAGTGAAATGTGAGCAGGTCAGACCTATTAAAATTGCCATTGCTGGTGTTAAAGTGAACAGGATGCTCATTCAGACAAGAAGCAGATGTGTTCAGCAGCCTTCAGATTAATGGAAAGGTGGCTCACAGGGTGACTAAATGCAGTCACTTTCTCAGACTGATGAGGCCAGCAGCTGAAAAGGGCTGTTAACCATAAATAACACGAAGCTGCTGCTGGCTTTGGGAAGCATATGGCAAGAACCGAAACAAATACATTACACATTTCTATTTTCTAACAACAAAAAGAAATACATTGCTTTGACAGATATTGAAACACAAGCTGCGATTTGAATTAGGCTGATGATGTTTTTCATTTCTTTTCCACTAAACGAGACAAAAATGTTGTGATTTTTGCTGCAGTCTGTCCCAGTCAAGCATCTCCCCCTTACATGTCGAGAATAGGATTTTGAGGCCGGGGCATCTCTGTAGTACTACGGTATTTTATTTCTAATTAATATGTAGTGACACATTCTGACTTCATCCAAAAACAAAGCAGCTCCTGTAATTTCGGCAATATTCGAGTATTTGTTGAGCCCTGCTACACAGTTAGCGGCTTAAACACAATGCTAACGCTACACTTCCGATATCATTATGAATTATTCAGCTATTTGTGTCAAACCCAGTCATCAGAAAACAAACAAAACAACGTCTCTGCAACATATTCAATCCAGAAACTAATATATCTTGCAACTAGCAGTGAGTTTAACGCCACAAACCCAGACAGTAGCTGATTACTTTCAACGGCCGCTACGCAGGCAAGTGGCTAAAAGCTAACACGGTTAGCACAGGCCTTGTGTAGCCACGTCGCTGCTAATATGATAAAAGCACCGATTTCCCACGTTATGCGTCTGATTAGTGCTCTGTGTGAAACCTCTCACCTCGACATCGATGTCCAGGAAGCCTCCTTCGGCCACCTCGAACATGAGGCCCATCTTGGTGCCGGAGTTGACCCGCTCATAGAAGCATTCCTCGGCATGGGCGTCTATGCTAACGAAGTAGCCGGACGCGGTGGCAGACAGGACGGCCAGCAGGACAACCAGCTCCGACAGGGTGAACATGGTTCAAACGGTGTGTGGCGACAGTTACACCGAGTCCGACGGTAAAACGCTTCAGTGTGGCCTGCAGGATGTCAGTTTGAGCTAGAGAATCGCTGCAGGAGGAAGCCGCTCCAGGCTCGGCTGCTGTGTACGGCTCTGTGACTGCCACGTACGGGCTTATTAAACGGGGAGCTGCGAGGGACAAACATCCAGCAGCGCGTAAAGTCGGTCAAGCGACTCCTCACCTGTTCTGTGAGTGGTAGGAGCACTGTGGTCATGCTCAGACTTTATTTGCATGCTAAACTCATCCCCATTAGTAACACCGGCCTCAAAGATTTGAATTCACTTATGTTTATATAGCACCAGTTTACAACACAAGTCATCCTGGGGCACTTCACACAGTCAGGTCAAGACAGTTCAATGTATACTTCAGCAAAAAACAAACAAAAAAAAACACTTGTAAATAAAATAATAATAAAAAAAATAATTCCAGCAAACAGTATCTATGTACAATTCTAAGTTATTTTTTTCCCCAAATATTTAATAAAATTAAAGCAAAAATCCTGAAAATAAAGGCCTATTTTAACTCTCAATAAACCTTTTCTTTTTTTGTTTGCTAAACATTTTTAATGGAATCATGTTTATACCCATGCAACATTTGAAATCATTTCACTGGACACTTTGTTGGTCACATTTTTGTGAAAATGAAAGTATTCAAGCTTTCATAAAAACCTTAAGAGGTTTATGAAACTTTTATGGAATACTATGGTCATGTTAGTTATTAAATTTCTGATTAAATTAAAGAATTTTTAAAAACTCTTCTTAAGAGATGTCTTCATTTTTTGTAGTGAAATCCTGTTCGAAGTTGTCTGTCTGTCTATGACCACATAAAATTTAAAGCAATTTCATGGTGCAATTTTTCAAATTAAAGGAAAAATTAAAATACATTTTGGAAAATATGGTATATTTAAACCTTCATTTAAAACAAAATAATCTTCAATTTGAGATGTTTGATAATTTTTTTAATGGAATCCAGTGCGGCTCGATGATGTCTGTGACCACCACCAATGTGAAGTCATATTTAGAGTTTTTTGTGAGATTAAAGGAAAAGTTTGATTCAATTGGGTAAAATATGGCATATTTAAACTGTCATAAAATATTAAAGTCATTTTACTGGAAAATTTTCAATAAAATTTAAGGAAAAGTCCAAGTTATTGTGGAGATGAATGCATAGCTGAACTAACAGAATTAGGAGTTTGTGCATTTCCATGGTAACAGAGCATAATGAATGGAGAAACTGTCTGGATTTTGAGCCTTTATAACATTTAACTCCTGCACTTAGTTATACTCAGAATACTCAGACTAGTTTACAAAAAGAGGGCATGCATTTCCGTTGCTTGAGAAAACATTTGGGGATCATCATGTTTCAGTCACCATCTGAGATGAGCTATGAAATAATTACATGGAGGAGCAGTGGCCCTCTGTTTAATATGTCCCTTAGAGAACTGAACCCAGCGCAGTGGAAGATGACTGCAGTTGGAGATCCGCAGATTTTGGCAAAGATGTGTGTATACAAACCCAGTCTATCTGTGCAGCTGTTCTTGATGCTGTAATATCTGTGGTGCATCAACAGTTCTCAGGATCATCTGTCACCACATTTATCTGGTACATGTGGAGAGCACAGAGTTTCCCTGTGGTTTTACAGGTTCAGTGGCAGGCATGCATCTTCAGACCACCTGACGCTGCTGATAACTAAAGAGGTGATTCAAAAAACTGTATAATGGTGAAAAAACACAAAATTTCTGTAAAATAGTGATATTTTTAGCTGATTTAAATACAGTAAAATTTTGTGATTTTATGGTCACACACAAAAACAAATTTATGTGGACGTTGTCTATAGTTGAGCCAGTTATCCCTTTTTTCTGTGATTTTACCAGTTGTCATCTCTAATTTAACAAAACACAGTCAACAACTGTTATAAACTCCTGCTTCACATGAGCCAGCTTTTTTGTTATCAACTCCATATCACATGCAAACACTGCTGATGATATGGTGGTTTGTGCTGCCAGAATACTGAACAGATGCTTGGCTAGGATGAAGAGCAAACAACAGTTATTTTGGGAAGAGTTTGCCACAAGTTTGAAGAAAGTCCTCGATCAAATTAAGGCAGCTCCACACAGTCCAGTTCTACTTTGGTGACAGTCCAGGACCAACCTCAGTCAGCACAACATGCGGATCCAGAACCACAAGAAAAGACTAATTATGACCAGCCCCACGTGTACACTCTAAAAGATAATGTTTGGGCTTAAAAAACAAAAAAAAAATCAAGCAAACAAACAAAAGCAGCAGTTTAGACAAAACTTTTGCAGTTTGGACAACTTCTAATAATAAAACTATGTTCAACCAACAAACTACATTGGATCAGGGGAATTAACTTTTCCCCTTTGGTCAAATATATTTTGAATTACCAGGTTTGATCATATAATATATAGTTGATGCAATTACCACCATTATTATGTCAATCAAAAGCATGAGAAATAATGGTTGCAACTTAAGAGGTTTATCTAAATCAGTAAACTGGATTTTTGTGTTTTTTATATAGGTTCCTTTATTTATTTTTTTTTAGAATGCAGAGCAACAACTGGGGCTGCAAGGGGGTGCAGTTGGTAGCAAGAAGATCGCCGGTTTGCGTCGCGGTGGGGGCACCACGTGGAGTTTGCATGTTCTCCCCGTGCAGCGTGGGTTCTTTCCGGGTTCTCTGGCGTCCTCCCACAAGGTCCAAAAACATGTTGAGGTTAATTGGTGATTCTAAATTGTCCGTAGATGTGATGTGTTGTTGTTGCTAGTACAACAATTTCCCTGAGGTTTTTACCAAAGGGATCAATAAAGTTCTATCTATCTATCTATCTATCTATCTATCTATCTATCTATCTATCTATCTATCTATCTATCTATCTATCTATCTATCTAT